GAGTTAAATTTTCGCCTCGGTGCGCTATGCTTCCTGCCGTTCTTTTTCCAACGAGCGAACCATTGGAAGTCTGCAAGACCAAATCGACCGCATCGAAAAGGAGTCACGCGAAGAGCGCAAGCGGCATGTTGAAGTCGTGGCCCGCATGGAGCGACGAATGGTAGTCGAGGGCGAGCTCAGTTCGGCAGCAAACAGACTCAAGGCAAAGGCAGGGCAGGACAAGCCCGGCGGCACCAATGTCGTCTCGCACTTTGTAAAGGACATTCTACTGGACAACGCGAACCTGCAACATGGCATATTGGAACTTCGGGAAATGCTCACCAATTCGAACGAGGAAGTCGAGCGACTGCGTGACCAACTCAAAATCCATCAGCCTGTATCTCCATCACCTCAAGAGGACCAGTCTGCACCGTCACTGCAGAAGGAACTGGGTCTGGAAGGAGAGGCGATTATGAATCAGGAGGTGCACATCCATCACCACTACCACGGACCCAAGATCACCAAGAACCTACCCAAGCCAACAGCACCGCGAAGACCGAAGAAGAAGCGATTTTCCCTCGGACCTACCCACTTTGACCCGCCTCCACCACTCGATCGTTCCTCTACCGCTGCTATCCTCAACTCTACCGCGGTCACCGTGCCCAACTCACATCGCTGGTCGCAGGCTTCGACTCTGACGCCTGGCTCGTTCTGCGGCTCACCCACATCAGATTCGCACCGTGGCTCCATGTATGACCGAGTTTTTAGTGACGCTGCATACGACTCATCACGGCCCACTAGTCCGCCTGACTCCATCGACATGCATTCTCCTATGTTTGGACCTACCAGATCTGATATCAGCTCGGATCGCGATCTCACATCGAAACACCGACGAAGATCTTCACGCAGTTTGAAGCCGCCTGGTGTAGCAACAATTCGCAGCAGTAGTACGCCAATAGCCATGGTGTTCAAGAGCAGTCCTGCTACAGCTATTGTTTCGGCCGTTAGTCCCGCCAATTCTCTGTCTAATGACTACCTTGCGCTTTCCTCCTCGCCACCATCGCAACCTCAAGCGGCGATACCAGAAGAGAATGAGGATTCCCCTCACCTCACGCCAGAAGCCTCGACAATGACTTCTCCTGAGATGGAGGCGAATGAATTCGTCCCCGCAATGACGCCCATGAGACCCACGTTGCGCCGCCACGCTTCTCACGAATCTCTTATATCAGTATCCGGCATGGATATCCACACCTTACAGTCGAGACCATCGCAGCTCTTCTACTCCTCTCGCCTTCCATCGCCTGGCAACGCAGGATCCGTGGGGCCTGAACTCACTCCATGGACTGCCACCGCGCACGGCACCCTGTCACGCAACAACTTCGACAGCAGCACTCTCAGCCGCACCCTACTCAACTCAAGCACCGCGACGCAGAAACGCGGGCCGCGAAAAAGCGACGGCCCAAGCCCGACCTCAAGCAACACCGGCCTCGGCAGAAAAGTGGGAGGCTGGGTGTTTGGCAAATGGGGCGCCACGCCCGCTCCCGCTCCCACTCCCGCTGAATCTTCCCGTCCTGCTAGTATCCAGTCTCAGGAGACGCAGTCAACACAGAGCACGGCCACCACGACCAACACCACGGCGACGACGGCGGATGCGGCGAAGAAGAAGGCGGATCGGCTGAAGCTTCGCGCTTCGGGCGTGAATCAGTCGGGGCCCATGTGGGGCTACTTTGACATTCCTGAGACTCCGACCAATATCGTCGTGCAGGATTATGATGCTGATGCGCTTGGGGAGGCGCTGGCGGAGGAGATGACGCGGTGACGCGGTGATGTGGATGGGGGGTGGTTGATTGAATGTTTTGGGGGACGGGTGAAGATTGCATATTCATGGATACTGGAGTTTTTTTTTCTTTTTTTTTCTTAGGTTACTGGGGTTTTGGGGGCTGGATTGGACCACACTGGACATGGACTCTGAATGAAGTCTTTTTTTTTTTTTCTTTTTTTTTTCCTTTGTGATTGGATCCCCTTGGGGGTGGATTTTGAGGATTAGTGGATAGACTTTGGAGTGAGAATGAGATTTGAGATTGAGATTTGAGAATGAGACTTGAGACTTGAGACTTGCAGATGAGATTGAATCTCTCTCGCCCATCGTATATTATCAAGACTTCAGCTGTAGAGCTGTCCATGTCTACGCTGGTTTTCTTTTGCTTTCTTGTTGATTTTGGGGGGGGGGAGTGTGGTGCATGTGTGTATTTGAATGTGTACACTTGAACATTGTGTTGCTTCTCATGTTTTTATTTTCTTCTTCTTCTTCTTCTTCTTCTTCTTCTTCTGATGATGATGATGATGATGAAAAAACACTACGTTGGGATTATTTGTGTGTAGGGAGGTAGGGAGGTAGGGAGGCAGGCAGGCAGGCAGGCAGGCAGGCGAGTAGGTAGATAGTCTAGTACGTTGATAGTTATCTTTATTTCTTGTTCTTGTTCTGTTTGAAGATACATGCATCTACACGACAGTCTTCTACCATCTGCTCTTCCACCCGCTCCCACCCGCTCCCACCTCCTCACCTCCCAATCCACCAATCCACCTCCTCTTCTACCCACCACCAAGCCCATATCCCCTCAACCACCTCAACTCCCTAGCCTGCTGCTCCAACGCCCTCCTCATCTCCCCACTATACCGCCTCTCGCGCTCCCAATCCCCACCGAGCCGCTCGACAGCATCGACCCAGACGTCAGCGTCAAACGGCGGGGCGCCAAAGCCCAGGAGGCCGAGCTTGCCGTCGCCGGTCCAGAGTACGAGATTCTCTTGGTCGGTTGACGGGGCAGCGGCGGCGGCGGCGCCGGTGGTGGTGGTGATGTTCCGCCACGTGGGCACAATTTTCTGCACAATGTCGTCGTGGGTGGTTGGGTGTGCGGTGTGCGGGTGGATGAGCAGGCGTTCGTTGGCAGGGGCTGGATCGCGGGGTTCGGGGACAATGTCCAAGTCGCCCTGGGCGTTGAGTTGGTTGATGTTGAAGCTGCGCACGGGTGTCACGGCGTCGCGCTCGACCCATTTGAGCACGCCGTCAGCGTCGGCAAAGACCAGTCTGGTGCCATGGCTGGGCACGGCCAACATTTTTCACCGGCTCGCCAACTGGCAGTTCTGGTAAAAGAGGGAACCGGCGTTGGTTGCGGCACCGGTGGTG